GTACTATCCCTATAGTATCCTTAGCCCATGGTACCCTTCAAATGTGAATACCCTCCTTACTATCCCTATAGTATCCTTAGCCCAGAGTACCCTTCAAATGTGAATACCCTCCATACTATCCGTACCTTCAAATATGAATATTATCCTATGAATCAGGGCTTAGCGTGCCATATAAGTTAGAATGGCAAGGTTGGTTTTTTTTATGTTTGGGTCACAAAGGGCGGCGAATAAAACTCAAAACGAATTAAGAATCCCTTCAAAGGCTTCATTGCCCATTCAGAAGACACTTTCCTTGACATCTATTAACGAAATTAACCTCTATGGGTCCGTGGTTAAATGCGTCTCAGCTCTGTGTTCAATTCGATTAACTCTGGAAGAGCTGCCCTTGGAACGAGGTACAGGTTCGCAGATACATTTATCCACTCTGACTACATTACGGTGGGTATTTTCTTGTGAAGTTTCTACGGCGAAAGCTAGTCTACAATCTGATGGATTAATTTGTCTTTCCTCTTCGATGTCTTTGGGCATACATACGTGTCACTCATTGCTGTGAACGATTCCATCGTGTGCCATTTCAGCAGCCGCGGCAACCTCAGCACAGGAATAAGAATATTATCTAAAGAGTGAGGGGGAAATCACCCAAATAAATGTTAGTAGACTTTGTCTCGATGTCCCTTCACTGGTTGGATGAGCAACATAAAGTGGAGGAAAGTGAGTACTTAATGCAACCGTTTGCATTATAACATCAAAAGATCCATGATGCAAATATCCATTTCTTTGAAATTTATGAAAACAAGTCCGCCATCTTCTTACTTTCTATTTTTCCTCACTTTTTATAACACTGCATATATGAAGTTTACTCACTAGCCATCATGTACAGGATCGACAATAAAACACAGACCCTACAGACAACAAACAAGACAAGAATCGTCAAATCCGGGTAATTTTATTTCTCGCCGACAACGCTGTAACGCTGATCCTTCTTACGAAACCGTTCACCTCGTGGGTAGCCTTGTTGAAGCATAGTGGACACAATAGGAGGGTGCTATTTGAAGTGGGTTAATTTAGAATAAAAACAAACGATTTACCCAAACTAAACAGCGCCCTCCTGTTCCGTAGCACATACCAAAAATAGGCTAATGGGAATTTGCCCAGCATTAACGAAAGTTACATCCAAACATATTTGAAAATGGAGATGTGACAGGCTTTCAAGGCAAATAGTAGCGTTCGATTGCTTTTAAAACGCAGTCCGTTACATGGGTTCCTCCATCACAGAAGCAATGCATACAACGCTACTGAAAGGCCATTGTTTCTCTAAACTGCTTTTTTTCAGCCCTAGAATCTTCAGAATGTACGTCACTAATTGCAACGTGTTTTGAGGTTCTTACATTAGTTTGTAGTTCACCAAAACCTAAGTGCAACGCTGCCATTCAATCATACTTACCACTATCAACGTCAAACTGAACATTGAAAACGTCTTTATCGGCCAACTCTGTGAGTGGGGAGATGGTTTAAACACGAGCGTTCATTGAATGAGCACCATTGACAAGATAAATAAAGGTTCTTGTTTCAAAAAATGCCACCGTGAAATTGATGTTGATTGGCGGTGATAGCGATAAAAAAGTGGCGACGGCAATGGTGCTGAGGTTGGTACTGATCATTCAAATATGCGAACGTGTTCCAGATGTATATGTAAGTAGCCGTGGTAGTAACAAAACTATCATTGTTAAAGGCGATATAATGTCAATAATGACGTAGTTGAGACTTAAGAAAATGCAAACAAGGATGACTGATACCTCCCAACAGCAACGCCATCGTGCCCAAGGGAATCATGGCCAAAATGTCTAATTTAAACCGGATGGACTTTCGGTAATGAGAACTCAATCGTCGAGGATCTTTGACCTGAAAATGAAGCCAAAGGGAAAACGTTTTTGAAATTCATAGCTGTTTCAACGTTGAAATGGGTAGATCTGAGTAATAATCCACATGCAAATCACGACAATGTTGTCTTATAGTCACATTTCTACTATTGCAACAAGACAGTGCAGAGCTCTCACCAGCAATCCTTGGTCAAGAAACGCTATTCTGAAGTTAACCAGGATGTCGAGAGAGAAGATAATGTCACTGGCGAAGTCCACCGTGCCAAAAACCCGGCGGTTGACGATCTGCAGGGGGAGGGAAAGTGACAGTCAGACAACGAAAACTAGAGAGTGACTCGACAAAATGAATTCAAAGAAGTACCGTGCAAGGAGAGCAAGGAGTCTCCGAGGCAGCTTCCCTTTTCCCCCGTATTTGAGACACCTGTCGACATTATTGCTGAAATGCATAGAAAATACTAAAAACAAGGCAAAAGATCGCAGGGATTAGCAAATAAGGGTGGAAAAAATATTGGATTCTTTGCCTGTTAGACTGGATCAAATTCAACGCTTCGACCTTGCTATTTGTGGTCTGCATGGCTTCACCAGGCTATATATGTGTTGATTCAAGTACATCTTTCGGCGCAGGACGCGCCGACAGATAATGCCTTAAACTGTGGACCTTGTGACAGACGGCTGATATTTGTATGTTGTGGGGTGAGGAACAAGGCAACATACCACCCACCAGTTGTTGTTTTTATTATTGCTTCTGCAAGCCGACTGAAATCGCAAGTACTATATAAAATTGTCGGACGGACCAGATTCTATTCATTACAGCACCTCTCATTTTAAACATTTTTCATGAACACCTAAGACAGTTCAGGCATTTCTATTGGTTGAAATCCAGTCACGCGACTGATCTTAAAACGAGAGATAAATAACAGCAGGCGGAAGTATATAGGCTACAATGGCTAAAGGAGCATTTGAAAAAAAAGGTGAACAAAATTGTTGGAAATTTGTAATTGTTTAAGTTTCGACTTTCTGACATCTGTGCTTGGATCATCTTAAACGTTTGTTAAGACCTCTACAGGAGAATGAATGCTGATGTAAAATTTAATGTTTCTCATTGCGTTCAAAGCTACCTCACGCACCTATGTCCTTGCATGTCGATTGCTTTTTACGAATATTCGAATAAAGTGCTTGGCCAGTAGCCTTATTCTTTTCATTTCATTTCAAGCACATTCCCTTAGAAAGATTTGGCTGAACTCAACAATTCTATGTCTTACATCTTCACGCATCTCCTTGAAAGCTATCCGTAAGATAATCATCCAGACGTTGTAGAGCACGGCAAAGGTCACCAGACCCTAATGAGGGAAAAGGCACAGTTCGAATCACTAGTCTCCAGGTGTTACTACCGCTTCGCTGCACGCATCAGGGCCACTACAGGGTCTTTGTATGTGGTGATTGATAGTATTTCCCTGAGACAAGGGTAATTTTTTTGAGTCATGGGGATACGGCGAAAACAGTTGCAGGTTGCTTCAGTTACAAATTCTGCATAGAAATTGCATATACCAATGAAAACAAACTATTAATTTGCGTAGGTCCAAAAGCTATGCTGTTTTGTCTGGTATCCAAATTACAAAGGCAATTTTATTGCCCAATGAGACATAATAATTAAGGCCTCCACCTGATATAATTGACAGCTTTGTTATGATCGTTCCGGCTAGAAAATTGGCCATAAAAGGTTTAGGGGGAATGGATGGGTTGCAAAACTGTCACACAAATCGCAGACAATAGGAAAATCTAACACTGCTGTTGGTAACCAGATAACAGGTGTTTAACTGCGATATGCACAGAATGTGCCATTCACAAATGTAAGGCTGCGCCCTTTTCAAAGCTTCCCAGACTGGTTCACACCCCCCCCATTGGATACGTGACATTAGAAGTCAGTAATGAGTCTATACTCCAAGCAACACATATCCTTACCATCCATACATAGATCTTATCCCCCTCTGGATCAATGACGAAGTCAGCATCGGCGAATCGTCTCTGGAAAGGGAAAACATTCGGTGCATTGTGAACAACCAAAGTCCTGAGATACACAGTCAAAAAAGGTCGATGACAACAATAACGCAGCAAATATACCAGTTTAACCATCCCACCTTAAGCTTGCTAAATGCAGATATAATTATATACAAACTCGTTTTCGCCATTCCTAATGAAACCGCTTTACACGAGGTTCTGTGCAAACGCCTCGAAGCTGAATATTATGAACTCAAAGATTAGACATTAGCTATCTCCTGTTTCGTGCAATGCGCGCGAGCATATATACGCACCTATGCAACTTTCATCTTTAGAGGATAACGGTAGCGTCAACTATGGCGTGGTTCCAGAGAAGTATTACTCAAGTGCCTTCTGCCCACATTCACACATAAGTTGTTTTCAGCGTACATCCTATATATACAGATTCACAGATTCCCTATAAATATTCAAACCATGCGCCAACTGACGGATCGATGGACGACTGACTTCATATTGCCTGATTGTAATCTGCTGGTCACTTTTCGATCGCTAACTGGAGAGCGAATGCAAGAAGTGCATCATCCACCCCCTGAAATACACGCACTTGACCTGTGTTGGTTTTCCAACCTGCGACCGGCCACGAGTGTTTGGCTTACCGCCGAGGTGACAAGCGAATATTAACGGTTGCTCAATGTAGTGTTTAAAGGGTGGTGTTTTGCTTCCGCAAAACGGAATTAAGAACAGTGCGTCGCTCGTTGCGGCATGGCTTTGAATTTGAAAGATTCGCTATACAGACGCTGCACGCTGAAGCTCTGATTTTTATCAGGGAAATTTTCTCTAATTTTTTGTACAGCTTAGCTGTTCCGGGCGACACTCTGGGTTAGGTAGCGGAAGCCTTAACGGGGGCATCCGTCGTTGTCTTGGTAACTCCGTGCTGGAGTAATTAATATTTGTGCAACAAAATCACGCATCTCCGGATCCACTTTTGTTGGTTTGGAGGGTTCTGATTGCACGCACCAGAGAGGCGACATTGAAACGCATGACATCGCTCATTGCGGAAATCAATCCTTTTGCTGCATACGGTTTGTCGTGTGGGATGATCAGACAATGCATGCAAATAGCTGGCTCTGTACTCAGAAAACATTCAGTATTCAGTCTCAAGGTCATTACAAGAAATGTCGGTTTTGCAAGTACGCATCAAACCGGATACAGTAACATTAAGACCATTTATTACATAGGCTATAGTTTAAAATGATGTGAAGGATGACATTTCCTAACATTTAGACACTCAGCACTTCGAGTTTTAACCCAATTTAGACTAGGTTTTTAGGAATTATATGTTTTCAATGGGGATTTGACCCCCCCCCCATATTGCGGAGATGGAACGCCAGGATAGCAGAATAACATGTCTATATAAATAATGCAGTGACATAATCCTTATCTCATTTTAATTATGATCATATTGATTAATGAAGCACACACACGTTATGCATAGTTCCATTTTATGGTAAAATATCTCTCTCGACTCGAAATGAAACACAGACACAGGAAAATGAATGTATTTCAACAACTTTGCATAACACCTATACATCCATGTACACTTTTGCATGTGAAAACTTCAGTTTTTGGATATCAATTGCTATTTAACCTGCAAACGCTTTATCTGATTTTCGTAAATATAATAACAAAAGAGGCAAAAGACTTAACGAAAAAAGTCATAAAAGGACAATTTGATATTTGAAGTGGTTTGGGAGGAATTGCATAATTTCCACAGACGTGCACTAAATATATGGGGTTAAGCGATAGCCCTATCTTCTAACACACGAGAGACGCTGGGGGTTACCATCTAGGCGAGACCAGGCCTCACAGATTAATGAATGCTTGCAATGTCATGATACTATTAGGCGCGGTATCTGACCACACGCAATGATCCCAGCTGTATCAAGTGTCACTAAATGTCATCTCATGAATGGAGGGTGAAAAAGGAGCTATTTATGAAAGTTTCAAAATTTATAAGAAAACAAAACGCAGAGAAAAAAGGCAGTCACAAAGCATTATGGATATTCCTCATCTTCCTCGTCATGGATCTGCTGCCTTGCTCATTATCATGACACTACCCGTAAATAAACCATTTCTTGAAATTACTAATTGTGTTGCAATTAACCTGTTGGCCTTACGTGTTTTACTTCCCCAGAGAGTGCCCTCTGTAATGAAAGGATAATTATGCTAATTACAATCACTAATGGTGTGTAGACATGTATATATGAGCAAGATGTAGACAAGTATGAAATAGTTATGAGCTTACCTCAAAATATTCTCTGATTCGCCTCTTCCATGATTGATATCGTGTCTGTGTACAAGGGAAAAGACAATATGAAAAGTTGAACCTCATCTTTCATAAATTTTGAGATTTACAGGTTGCTCTTATTAGATACATGTACATGCATAGAAACAGTGATACTAATTAGCGCACGTTGATGATCATATCTGACCCCAAACTTCTGATGTCAATTGCATGCAAATGCATTTTTCCAATAGAAGATGTGGAAGTACTGGATACCTGACACTAAAACGGTAATCAGAGGTAAAATTTAAGTAGCTGTATTTCTGAAATGAAAAAGGATTTTTTTTATATTTCAGGAGCAAATCGATTTGAAGATTTCTAACATTTGCCTCGTATGTGCATATAGTCACTCCCCAAAAAGTAAGGGGCGTAATACAATTTAAACAATTTAAAAATTGAACTTAACTGGTACAAAAGGCACAATTATTTCACCTACAGGTGTTTATCTTTCCATCTGTATTGAACAAAATGATAAATGCCGCTACATGTATTTGGTTTCCAAGCGTTTGCAGTGAAGGCTGGTGAAACGTGGTTCCTGGTTACATAATGTTAAGCGCCCTCTATTGACTATTGTGCCTAAAGCTGGAAACAAAGTTCGCGCGCCCGTGGGGGCAACCATGTGCAAACCATTTTCAGTAGTAAAGTAATTCGGACGTGGACTCATTTGGGGTTTTTCTAAGCCAGCGCTTTATTGTAGTTACTGAGAGCGAATCTGACACAGATGTTTACGATTTCTATTTTTAGATGCCGCGTGCACACATCCATAATGGTCAGCATGATCAAAGAAGATTTACAAAACTGGAAATTAAGAAAACGTTTTTCGAATTGTGGTACATCAGGGGGTACATCTAAAACAGGGAAGCAATTTATACCAGCTTGGTGTTCACCAATATCAATGAAATGAATTCGGAGCTTGTGTCGGGCCGTTTCGGAGATTTCCGGTTTTGGCGGCTGTCAGAGCGCATCTCTCAAGATAACCGGCATATTTTGGACTGGGAACCAGACTTATTGGAGGCAGGCTACATACAAGGTGCGGAGTTATATGTCATCATCGTTTGAACAACAACAGGAAGCTATAAATAATTGACAAAGACGACATGATGATCTGGCGCAGAAGAAATTGTTGACATTTTGTTATTAACCAACCATCTGCAAAAAACCGTTCGGCAGAGTGGCAGACACCTAGTATCCAGGTAACATCGGAGCCTGGCTGTTGAACATCGAGTGCGGTGGCGAATGACTCGCTGATTTGTTTTGCTATCGACATTAAATAATCCGAGTCGTTTATTGCGCTTTGGTAGCATGGTGCACACAGGTGATGTCTGATGTGTTTGCAACGTGCTGCAGTGGCCTTAAATTGACATCATTAGTGAGAGTCGAGCCCTTACAGTAATCAGGCAAGATTAATTACTAACTAACAACACAAATGAAAATCGATAGAGGTTCTTTTTACTGTTTGCTTCGTCCTCTTTTATGATAATATACAACGTGATAGTACACGTTCGACGCAGTAAGACCAGTAAGTGGTGAAGGAACCTTGAAACCAATCAGCAACGCCCCTCCCAATTGACCCCACGGGACCTTTTGAATCTTAACGAGACAACATCGGTCTTACCTTTCGGGCCGTGCAGGAGCGCGTTTGAATTTTATTTGTGTTTTCTTCTTCTATTTGTTTCATGTAAACTGTCGTGTGTCCATGCATTCAAAGAGCAGTACGACAGAAAGTGTGTTGATGTTCAAGAATATACATACAACTAAAAGAACATGACGAACGGGAATTGTACAAATAAAGCCTGTGAATCATTCTGAATACGACCTTTGATTTCAGATTCAACATCTAACTCGCCCCAGTTGTGACTGTTACAATTAAACTGAACCACAAGCCTACCTCGTCTGTGGGTCGGATATCCTCCTCATTGCTGTCCCCTGGGCCCTGATCGATCGAACCCACGCGCTCCGCAGCGAAGTTGACGCGCCGATCGGGCTCCCTACTGGCCATATTGCCGCCGATGTTCAAATCTGGTTGGACGTAATGCATACACTGACATCAATTACCGTAATCGGAATAAATGGCGACTTGGAATGTAAACTGTGAAAGGCTTACTCTGCAGTCCCAATTTGTATTAGTATCTGTCTCCGGTTGTGCTTAATTTATCCTTAAGTCCGGGTACACGCTTCTAATGGAGTCTCCTGCATCTATTTACCCTAAGTCAATCCTGAATTGTCCAACAAATGCTGATCTTTGGAACTAGCTCTCAACCGGCAAGCTCTCCT